AGTTGGTTGGAAATTTTGAATTTTGCCCCGGTGGAGGCCGAAGCCGACTCTTATCGATTTTGGACCAACAAGGGATCTTTAAAGTGCACAATTTATACTCGGGACCTCCGAGATTTTTAGCCCTTTTCCGAGAAGGCAAGGTGTTATATTATCTTACCTAGCGTAAGATCAGGTGTGTGGCTGAAAGGCAGCATTAAGAAGGAGCCAAGGAATAGCAGTACAAAGGATGAAGAAAAAGTCAAGAGCTCAGAGGAGGGGGCAAAGGAAGTGAGGGGTTGGGGGCAGAAAGTGGAGACGAAAGCAGACGACTGAACACACAGACAATCTACATGTGGGCTACCTTGCATTATGATTAAGTTGTGTGGCATTCACAGACAAGCATGCTGAAGACGTTATTCCCCCCCCCCCCCCAAAAAAAAAAAAAAAAAAGAAAGAAAGAAAGGGGGGTGGGGGGAGAGTAGGGCAGTCGTGGGGAGATTGTTAGCGGGGCGAAGCTAGCCAATAATAAAAGTCAAATTTAAATCATGATGTTTTCCATACAAGTCAAATTATTCACGACTATACTTCCCAAAATCCACACTTTACCCTCCCACCTTCTCACTCCCCCTTAAAAAAAATAATAAAAAAATAAATAAATAACCAAAACGAAATAACTGATAACGAACTGTTCAGCCTTTCTTGAACTAGTTGAACACGTATGACATTTATTATGAAACGCCACCGGCGTGATGGACCTGCACAATGCAAGTGGAAGGAGGCGTTGCTAAAGACTGAAGAGGTCTTTCTACAAGCAAAAGCTTCGCGTCACTGCCGCGCTGTCTCATCTTATATTTTCTTTGCACTTAAGCTTATCAGCATGAACATTAGTTCCGGTTTTAGAAATTACTTTCGCGACTCCACTAGATTCTACAAAGCTTAACTTATGACCTTTAACCATATTCGTACGCCCTGGGGTCATTTAGTACCTCCGGGGGTTGTATTCTTCACATTTTAGAATACATGTACTTCTAGAGCGAAGATCTCTTTGGAACTTTCAGTATTTCTCAAAAATTCATTTTGACACACTGCTATGCAAAGCGCACGGATCGGATTAACGTGTAAATTTCCTCTTTGGAAAGTGGTGGCACAGAGTTCTCCACGTCGTATGGATACGATCAGTGGCGGCTTGTGGTTTAAAGAACTGACCGGCCATCATTCACATAGACTCTTTCACTCTTTCTTCCTCCCCCACCCCCTTCCTTCACACACACACACACACACACACACACACACACACACACACACACACACACACACAAACACATCCCCCCCCTCCTCTCTCTCTCTCTCCTCATTTTATACTCCTACTTTTGCTATCCCCACCCTCTCCCCCACTCACACACCACTGTAAACATTTTAATATAACGTGAAAGAGCTGGAACATGGTAGTGTCAAGAAACAATATTATGATTAATGTATGATGGAAGCTACTGGGTTAATAGAAACTGACTTGAACCGTAACGACATAGAAAAAGAAACACTACTAGAGTCTATGACTATGATGCTAGAAAAAAAACCTTGAAAGTGAGAAGCACAATAAACTGCTGGTCATGGCCTCCGGTACTTTTACTTTCTACACACCCACACATAATAATTAATATCGACGTGCACTCGACCTGTAAATATATAATAAGAACAGTACTGTATGACGGCAAAAAGTCAATTGATACTGTACCAATGACGCTGTCCCATGCAGATTAAGTCTACTATCCGATACTATAAAAATCTGGAGAAAGTTAGCACACAACAGTTTTCCATCATTATGTAATCAAACGTTCTTCATCACACTTCTCAGTTCCCAGAACACTGTTGTAACAAAGTGGGAAAGTGTGTCAAATGCTAATTATAGAACTTGGTGTCTAGCCGGGGTGACGGTGGATAAGGGGATGGAAGGGAGGGGGTAGGCCCATTGTTTTCGGCCCAGACTCTGACAGCCGAGAGCCTGTCACTCCTCGTTATAATTCTCCTTATATATCTTCACTAGACGATTCCTCTTTTCGCCGGCTAGACTCATATGGGCCAGGTACATTATTAGTGGGGAGAAAGCGATGAATAGTCACCAAACAGGAACTATAGGTGGCTAAAAATTCAATAAACAAAAAGGATTAGTGCCTTGCTAACAATAAATGTTTTGATGATAGTTAGAGAAAGGCTGAATGATAAGTAAAGGTATTGCTGATGAAATATTTCATGTGTCTGCGGTGCTCAAGACTCAAAACAGTCTCATTACTGATTTTGTAAGCAACACGGAGGCCAACTTGGCAATCGAGGGATGCTATATTCGCTCTTAAGGCAGTCGATGGATTTGTCCAGCGGACTGACGTCATCGCAGTACATGTACCCGCCGTGTTCGTTTGTCCTCGTACGAAGTTCCGCGACGTGACGGCTTGACGGGAGACGATATAACGTTACGAGCCGATGCGATAAACAGAGGTGAAGGAATGAGGCTCTGTCGCGACAAAACAGCAGTGAATCCCACTTGTCTATTTGAACGCCTTCAAATCGGCAAGGTGCTTTTTGAATATTGATACTTGCATTATTTAGATTTACTTAAAACTGAATGAAAATCATCATCAGCAATAAATCTCTTGCCAACAGTCCAGATGACAAAAATTTTAAACCGCCCCTGGATAAGATAGTAAATCACGACGGACGGATAGGGTTAACACCTCTATAATAGACATTAACATTATCATGACGAGCCAGACATTGGTGATCAAGGTTCGACCAGAGAGTTTACAGTACAGTAAGTGAAATTGTCTGGTTCGACGTTCATATTTGCTCGGATACGATCCCATTCGTTAAAATCAATACATGTAGGTCACAGTTAATAGAGTTCAACTTGATCCCCGTCTATAACAGGGCTCAGCTGTAACAGGGACACAAGTATCACGTCGATCCCGGCGATTCTGTTAAAACTAACAGTAATAGTAATAGAACCCACTGAATACACCATGTTCATTATAAATCATTAGTCATTTTATTTTAGTTTTTGTAAGAGTTTTACGGCACTTGCAACACAATACGGTCATATATGTGCCGAAGATTAGAGGTGTTACAAGAGAGTAATAAACAAAAAAGAAGGAGGGGGAGATAAAGACGATAGATGTTTGATAGGAACAAACCACACCAGAACTATAGCTGGAATCCTGTCATAACCGTGACTGATATAATAAACGGGTCCTATTGTAGTGAAGTGCGGCAGCTTCTTGTTTTAGTAAATGTTTTACGGCATTTGCAACACAATAAGGTCATATCAGTGCCCAAGGTTAGAGGTGTTACAAGAGTATGATTTTTGAGTACGACACTATTGACAAGACTCAATTTTGGTCTTCTAAGTGCCATTACAAGAGTAACAAACACAAAAAAGAAAGAGGAGAAATAAAGACGACAGATAGGAAAGAAGGAGCAGACCACACCAGAGCTTCCGCCAATCACATATGTACGGCATC